AAGGATACTATTTTAAAGTTACTAAGGCAGTCAAAATCAACTCTGTAGTTGTTGACATAAACTTAACAAACTAGGTAACCTGTTCCAAGTCTCAGATTGTTATTTTTTAAGAAAGTGAACAATTCAACCTTACAGATTCATTGCACAGTTTCTTAATTATTAATGAACCAGGATTCTGGCTTTAAGATAACTATGCTTTGAATATATGTATGCATTAAATGCTAACTAAGTCAAGAGAAGCAAATCTGTATTCCTTCTAGATTGTTTCTTGTGTTTCAAAAAGAGAGCAACTTCAACTATTTATAAACTGTAATTAAGTTTCTTTACAACATGACTTATTCTCAACGAGCAAGTCCTTTTTCTTTTGCTTTCTTATGAACTGTGTGGGAAAATTAGGGTTCAATCACTGCAGAATTTACTCAATGCTTAATTACCCATAAACAGCCTTCCAAGTTCTGCTCATGTAGAGCTTACATAAAGACATGATTTTCCCCTCACTATGGCTGTCTAAAAATTGACTTTTAAAAAATGATGTGTAAATTGTAACATAGGAGAAAGCAGTGTTTTACTATGGTTTTGGGTTCTTTCTCCAGTCTGCTGTTTGAGTTCATCATATATTAACAGTGTGATGCTTAGGAAAGCCAAAGTAAGAAATCATCAGTATTAAATTACTTCAAGCGTGGAACTAAATTAGAAAGCTTTACTTTCCTGAATGAGCTAATTGTTTAAATTTTCCAAAGGAAATGTTTCTATTTCTGTGAGAGAAGGGATAAATGGGACTTCCTCTGACATAATTTTAGTTTTAAATCTGAGTTTGAGAGCAACATTTTTACCTTCATAACCAAATATTACTGCTTAACTGCATGACTTGTACAAGCTTGCTAGTTGAAGTGACTCACTTACGCAGATGAAGTTATTTTTAGGGAGATAATTTGCACTGTTTAGGAGAGAGGAAAAAAGGGAGAGAGCGTCCTACTAAGAGCTAGATCCCTCATTATAGTTTACAGAGCTCGTGAACCCAGCATCCAAGCAAAAGATGACTAAGCAAGGGGTCTATTGGTACTTTCAGGAATTTACAGACATGAGTCATCTGCTTATTTTCTGCAGACATATCACCAGGGTACTTCTGAGTCAGCTGTTATTTGGAAATAGTACTTGTATTCAACGTGATACGTTTTTGTAGTTCTTGGGTGACTAGCATGCCAAACCAACACAATTTGCCTAGTTCAGATGTTGATTTACAGAACTGGTGTGTTGTTAACTGTGATGCATTTTTCATGGCAAAGTATGAATGTTGTCTTGAATGTAATTACAATAACACCTTTGCCGCCTTATGTATTGCATGGAGGCAGAACTGATTTTTTATTAATGCACAGATTGAGAGTCAGACTGCCTATACACTACCAGGTGAAAGGAAAAATTTTCTTTAGCAACCTGTGTGACTGTGAGCAGAATTTGACCTTTTATATCAAATGTATTTTGCCAGCATGAATTACCAATAGTATTTGTTATTTTTTGCATTCTGTGCAGTAACAGTGTCAATGGACGGGCATCCACTGCAACGGAAGCAAGTTCTTGCCTTCCTTTCCTACTGCTAAAATAATAGCTGGCTACCTTGAGATATGTATAACACTTTACAACTCAAGGCTATTTCCTGTTTACCGGTCTTTTAGGTGTGGTTGTGTTCCAGAATTAGGGACAGGTTATTTTACTTGGTCTGGACTCATCCACACCTTGTATTAAGAAAACACTTGGATTAGAAAACTGGAAGATTTTAGGTGAAAGGTAGTGTTAGAAATCAAAGACAGATCAAATTTTTCAAAACTGCTTGCAGTTCATGGTGATACTGTTGTTGGCCAGTTGTGGGATGCACAATTTTTTATCTAATTTGATTATCTGATTTATCGGATTAACATAAGACATTCCTGAAAATTCCTATACAGATTTTGGTTAATAGAACAAGAAATTTTTTTTCTGTTATACTTTGGTGGTACCTTCTCATAACAAATTAAAGTATCTCTGTAATGAGAGCACTGTCTTGATTATCCATTTAAACAGCATTTCTAGGGCTAGATACATTGTGTTAAGGCCAAACCATTAGTTTTAGATAACAGGAGGAAAAGTGTTGCTGCTTGCCCCTGCTATGTAAACAGAGTTTTCAAAGGAAAGTTAGTGAAAACTAAAAATTCTCAACTAAAAAGTATAATAAAACTATTACTGGAATGCTTTGTTAAAGTTTGTTATTCCTCTCACATGGTGATAAAATACAGAAGTGTGAAGAGTTGTTTTCTGTTAAGGAATTGGTACTTAAGAAGGAAAAAGATGCACTAGAGGAGCAGAGTTTAAGCACTCAGAGCTGAAGTAGTATATTTATAACATTAAAATGGAGAACCAGTCTTGTTTCTTTACTCTTTTCCAAGGTGAAGTCCTTCAGAGGCTGAGGCCCACACACTGTTTGTGAGGGGAGGAGACAACTTGCTTGCTGATAAGTGGGCACGTTTTTCAGGGTTGTTATTTAGTAATCATGTTATAAAGAGGAATTTGACAGAGCAATCTTTGAATCTAACCTTTGTTAAAGCAGTGATCTGCCCTCAAATTAGCAGAACTCTGCCCATGTCATTACCACTTAAGTATCTGCTGGAAGCTGGTGTGTGGGCTGAGTCACCAGTACTCTGGGAGTTGTCACGTGTGGCTCAGACACTGGGTCATGAACTGAGCAAGCGCTGTCGTCCACAGTGATTTCTTGTATTTTGAGACTACAGCTGGAATAGCACATTTGGTTTTGTGTACTTCATGGCTACAGACGGCTTTTACTCCTAGAGCTTGGAGGGTAATTTAGGGAAAAGGAAGATATGGTGTGGCTGATGCACATCAGAGTATTTAGATGTGATTAGAAAACCTGAAAAATGAAGGAACTAGTGGCATAATAGCATGGAATTTGGAAAGTAAAACCTGTGTTACACTGATATCTGAGTCTGTAAACAGAGATTTCATAGGAAGTGCTGGAATCTCTGCTCCATAAAGTATTTAAAATACAATTCTACTGCAGTGTTCTTTCATTGTGCAGAATTAAAGAACTGGGCTTTGGAGTATAACAAAAAGTACAGTTATAGGTACTTTATAAATTAAGTGTACACCTTTAAAAGAAATGCGCTTTATCCTGTTAACATTGATGTTATATTAAACATATTAAACAGAACTGTTGGGTCCAGTTCTGTTTAATATCTTCATCGATGATTTAAAAGAGGGGATTGAGTCTACCATTAGCAAATTTGCAGATGACACCAAGTTGGGGGGGGAATGTCGATCAGCTGGAAGGCAGGAGGGCTCTGCAGAGGGACCTGGATAGGTTGGAGAGTTGGGCTGATTCCAACGGGATGAGGTTCAACAAGGTCAAGTGCCGGGTCCTGCACCTTGGCCACCACAACCCCCTGCAGCGCTACAGGCTGGGGACAGAGTGGCTGGAGAGCAGCCAGGCAGAAAGGGACCTGGGAGTTTGGATTGACAGGAAGCTGAACATGAGCCAGCAGTGTGCCCAGGTGGCCAAGAAGGCCAATGGCATCCTGGCCTGGATCAGGAACAGTGTGGCCAACAGGTCCAGAGAAGTGATTCTTCCCCTGTACTCAGCACTGGTGAGGCCACACCTCAAGTACTGTGTCCAGTTCTGGGCCCCTCAGTTCAGGAAGGATATTGAGGTGCTGGAGCAGGTCCAGAGGAGAGCAACAAGGCTGGTGAAGGGACTCGAGCACAAGTCCTATGAGGAGAGGCTGAGGGAGCCGGGGTTGTTCAGCCTGGAGAAGAGGAGGCTCAGGGGAGACCTCATCACTGTCTACAACTCCCTGAAAGGAGGTTGTAGCCAGGTGGGAGTTGGTCTCTTCTCCCAGACAGCTGTCAGTAAGACAAGAGGGCATGGTCTTAAGCTCTGCCAGGGGAGATTTAGGTTGGATATTAGGAAGAAATCAGCCATTGGAATGGGCTGTCCAGGGAGGTGGTGGATTTTCTGTCCCCGGAGGTTTTTAAGATGAGAGTGGATGTGGCACTTAGTGCCATGATCTATAACCACAGTGGTAGTGGATCAGGGGTTGGACTTGATGATCTCAGAGGTCCCTTCCGACCCGGCTGATTCTATGATTCTATGATTCTGTGATGTCAGTAATTCTAGTCTGTTGTCATAACTCAATTTAACTGCAGATTTTTGAAACTGAAAGTAGACCAAGAAAATATAAACTATAATTCTAACAATGAAAAAGTGAAAAAAACAGTTTCTGACCATGAAAATATATACCAGTTTCTAACTGTTGTAGATCATTTTATTGTTCTGCCAGACCTAGCTGATCATGAGACAGTGATAAGCAAAGGGAACTAAGAGGTTCTGATTTTTATTTTTAGTGAGATATTTTGGGTATTAATGACTTTGCAGTGTGTTTTTGGGTTTGTGGGTGGTTTTTTTGTCTAGCAGATGACAGCAAGTTGAAATCTTTTCCAACTCATGTGACTGAATCTTTCTACATTCTTTATCAAATCATTTAACCACTTTAGGACCCAGGCAGCTGTAAAATGAGAATGATAATGCTTTTTATGTACAAGGGGGCATTAAAATGAATTGGCTGAAGCAGATAAAGAGAAAATTGATTATTGAATGGTATATAGAACGTATTTTGTGATTTTTTTATAGGGAAAAATTTCACAGTAAAAGGAAAATAACTTATTTTTTATAACAAAGTAATCATGATGTAAATTTTATGATTAACATAGAAATACACTAAAGTTTTTTTAATTATATGCTTTACAAAAGTGTTCTGATAAAGCAAAGCATCTCATACAGTAATAGGTTGGAATCATTACTTGTGAGAAATACAGAACTGTATTTTAGAACTAATCATCAATTTCTTCTTTTCTGTCACCTTTAAACACATAGAAAGGACTGATATTTTCCCAGTAAAAAAGGGAGAAAATGCAATGGTGTATTTTTATGATTTTTTTTTCTTTCTGAATTACAGTTGACCTACCCCTGTACTTTCCACGAGACCAACCAACCCTAACATTTCAGTCCGTCTACCACTTCACCAACAGTGGCCAGCTGTACTCCCAGGCCCAGAAGAATTACCCTTACAGCCCGCGCTGGGATGGCAATGAAATGGCCAAGAGAGCAAAGTAAGTCAGATTGCCTTTTCCTAGTAAATATTGCTTTTGTTACATGGGTTTCTGTGGATAGAAGTTTCATGGATTAAACTGTCCATTTCCAACATTACAAAAGCTGAACCTGTTTTTGTTCTCATACAGCCCTAGCATTCCCATAGGTGAGTGTAGACAGTTACTTTACTAATCATGCTTATTACATTAGTGCCAGAGGACTGATTAAAAGGAGGCTCTTTCTACTAGGCATTGTATGGGCATGGAGTGGTGTCAGTCTCTGCTCCAAAAAACTTTCAATCTAAGTAGATGAGATAGCCCACAGCAGGAGTAATCTGCATGGTAGCAGTCAGTCAAGGTAACTCCCTGGTTTTGTGTGGGTGTTGAGGGGACCCTGAAGGGAAGCATGTGAGATGGAGAGAGCAGGGAAGAAAAACCTGAAAGAAATGGAATTCCGCTGTAATAAAAAGACGTGGAAGAACAGGAGGAGGTAGAGCAAACAACCAATCCAGCATAGGAGACAATCCTATCAGATCTTGAGAAAGTTATCTGAAAGTCTGAATATCTCTTACTTTACTGCTTTTTTTGTTGGTTGGAAAGAGAGAATCTCTGACTCTTCCTCCACATTTTTTCTGCAAGCCCTTGTTTCAGGCTGGGGAGACATCAGTTCAGCCTGAGTACCCTCTCTTGTTAAAGAGGATAAGGCAGCCTCCCAGAGTGGTTCTGTTGCAAGGGCAAGCTGCCATGGGCAGCGGTGCCCCCAAAGCTAAATATTATCCCTGTCTTCTTTTGAAGCAGAACAGATTTTACCTGAATGGAGCAACATGGGCAGCAGCCTTGCTGCAGTATTTCAATTTTGCAAAGTGTAAAAATGTTAGCACAGCAAGAGATTTAAGTAGGCTGATTATCAGTTGTTCAGCATATAAAAGCATCAAACTGCATAAATAACAAGGCATATTGGGATGAAGATTTTGAGTGACAGTCAGAAGATTAAATTAAATCTGCAAATATGCATAAATAAGAGTTGAAACAAAAATAATTCAAGCTGAGTAAATCAAATGAATGGCATGGTCAGAGACTGTAATTAGGAAGTGATAGAAGCAAACAACAATTGACTTATGCATTTGTAGATTTTTATACTAATTTAAATTTTATGGACAACATCAAGGAACATTTGATTTTTGATTTTGATGCACTGTAATAGAAATTTTTTTACCAGCATAGAAATAGAATAGAAATTTAATAGAAATTTGTTTTTGCCACCATATGATTTAAAGGAGCAGCATTTCTTGATAAAGTGTGATTTTTTTAATTTTCTTTTTGGTGTGGACTTTCTTCTTTTCTCTAGCAGAATATTATGAGTATGTTGTTTATTATTAAAAAAAAATATGAAGAAGAAACAATACCTGGAAGCATTACTGTGGCTTTTTTTTATAACCATACTACAAATGCATTTCTTTTGCAGCTGAAAGCTTACAAGTACCTATGTGTTGTCTGCTAAGTGCATTCACTTATGAGTGGGTGTATACAATTGGACTTCTCTGCCCCGCACTTGAAATTTAAAAGTATTATAACAGTTCTCTTGAAAAGCACTAAATGTGTACACTTACTATCACATGTATGTTTGTGAGGTTATTCACTCTTACGTTTGAGTCTCTGCATTTAAGTTTTACACTGGGTACGTAATATGAGAAAGATGATGAGAAGCGGGGGAAGACAGTGTGCTGAGATGTCTGAAATAGCTACCATTGAGCTGCAGAGACAGAGAAGCTGCTCTAGTTAAAAGCGCTTTGCTTGCAGGAACAACCAGTGATTCCTGAGTAGGTACCATAAATAAATCTGTATCAAGAAAAGTATGATGTTATGATACGTGTGAACATATTTTAAGAAAGATTTTTATCACAATCAAGCATCTTATGTAAACAGTGTTTAAAATATTTGCTAGGGCTTCTTAGAATAGGTTAGTATGTTTCTACACAATGAAATAACTTCATTCTATTTTATTTTTACTGTAGAGAAGCTAGGAACCAAGTATATGGGAATATATGTTGATATATAGGAAAGCATTGTAATTAAATATATTAGTTCAAACACCACATCAAAACCTCCCCAGTAAAAGCAGAAAGAAGGATTCATTATTTACCCTCTAGAAACAATGTCATTCTACTCAGCTGAAGTAAATTTAGCCCTGGTTAAATCAGAGACAACTGGTTTATGTTTCTAAATACTGTCAATTAGGTTTTGCTTATATATAGTCTTTTTCCCTCTTATCCAAATGGTTTCCCAAGTGCTTGGCATTCTTTGAGACAAAACATCTCTGTTTATTTTTCTGGCCACTGCTCTAGGGCCACAGGATCTCCCACTTGACTTTCCAGTATCTGACCAAATTCTCTACCCTTCTTCTCAGACACTTCAGGGATCAGTGTACGCCATCTTCCTCAGTGGAGCTAAAGACACCATCAAGGACAGCTTTTCCTTGCTCTCACACCAACTGTAGAAGCATAATCAAGTTTGAAATAGTATCAGTCAGAGATTTCCTCATCCTCAATTTTGGCAAGCCCTGCCTCTGTTTTCAGCAATTCAACACAGCCTGCTTATTCATGGGCAGAGTTGTCATAAGTTCATGCCAAAGGGACTTTGATTCTGTGCCCAGCTTTCTCCCAGGGTTGTTGTTTTGGTTTGGGGTTTTTTTTCCAAACAGGTGAGCCCATCCAATTCTTTCAGTGCAGGGACTAAACTTGAAAGTCTTGGTGTCCTTGCTTATCTTGTGGCCCCCAGCAGAAGTAACCATCTCTTTTGAAGTTAGGACTTAACCCTCTGCTGTAGCCTTGAGACAATCAGTAGTAACTATAAGTAGGAGCAAAATTTGTCCCCTAAAACGCATACAGTAGATTGTGTGCATTCATGCTTAGAGACATATCAACTGAATCTAAAAGGCAAATTCTCTAAAGAGAGTATGATTTTAGCTGGCTGTATTTTATTCACAGAGAAAAACTGCTCATGTTCTTGCTGAAGTAATAGTACCAATTTATGTCTGTCTGATGAAGTCCAAGAAGTCAATATCTCTCTCTCTCTCTCTCTCTGTCCTCTTAAGCAGATTTTAAAAACTGGGCTCCTTTGAGGCCCTCTGACTTAGATTCCTTGCTGAGAGATAGCATCTGGTAACTGAAGCTTGCTATTGTCTTAGCCCAGGGATTGCCCTCTGGCTTGTTTTATTTCTAAGGGATGAATCAAGTCCTGATTTAATAATGTAGTTCCAATGGCCTCCAGATTGCTTGTTTCTCAACTAAACACAAAATTTTAACCTGTTTCTCTGGATAGAAACAGGGAAACCAAAAATATTGAAATTTTCTTACAAGCTGCCAAGATGCTGTTTCCTCTCAGTTCATATCTTGGGCTTTGCCTCTTTTAGGTCATTTATTTATATGTCTGTGGCCTCCTGCGTAAGCAGCTTCTCCAAAAGATTTGGTCCTAAAATACAATGGCAAGTCTAAGAAAATACAGTAAATTATGGAAAGTTAGCAGCCTTGTTTGTGGTGTACGTGTGAAGTAAAACATCTCTGTGCGGTTTCCATGGGAAAGCTTTCTTGTTTTTTTGCTTAAATAGGCATTCAAGTGTACATAAATGGAGTCTTTAAAGAACATGCAGACTTGAAGCCTGGGATTTTATGAAGGAATACTGTAAATAAAGCTTGTTTGTTTATACAAATGAAGTTCAGTTCTTAGATGCACTCTGGCCCAGTTTCTGTCCGATCCACTGCTGCTCTGTAGACTTAGGTTATACTTCAGGAACAGCAAGTCAGGACTCAGTTTACTCTTTTGTCCTACATAAATTCACCTACTCACCATTAAAAATAGCAGGAGGATGGAAAACTGGTATCACAATAAAAAGTTGCTCCAAAGGTTTGTATTAATTTTTTATTTTTTTGTTTTGCTGATAAAACTGGTTTCTGAATAACAGTGTTGTCCCTGGCCATTCACCAGTGTTTGCTGAATGTGGTGTTAATTTTATATATCCCTTAGGGCACTCTGAGGGTGAAAGCTTAAAAGGGCTCAAGTGCTCTCAACTGTATATTGGCTGTTGCTGTGCCGTAAGGTCAAGTGCATTTTAAGATTATATGGAGACATATCTTGTGTGAGCTACATATGTCTTCCCAGCGCAGCTGCAGCTGTGGTTTATGCCCAGCAGAAACATGTGAAATGGTTAGAAAGTGTCAGGATGGTAAACTGGGCCATAGCATTTTCAGCCTCATTGATACCTTTTCCTTGAGTGTCATCAAATTGCATGACATGTATCATGTGCATCATTGTGGCCCCCCCCCGCTACGGGAAAGACATTGTGGTGCCGGAATGTGTCCGGAGAACGACAACAGAGCTGGTGAAGGGTCTGGAGCACAAGTCTTGTGAGGAGCGGCTGAGGGAGCTGGCATTGTTTAGCCTGGAGAAAAGGAGGCTCCAGGGGGAACTTATCTCTCTACAACTACCTGAAAGGAGGCTGGAGCCAGGTGAGGGTTGGCCTCCTCCCACAGATAAGTGGCAGGACAAGAGGAAATGGCCTCAAGTTGTGCCAGGGGAGGTTTAGATTGGATATTAGGGAAAAATTCTTCCCCAAAAAGGTTGTCAAGCAAGGCTGCCCAAGGAAGTGATGAAGTCCCCACTCCTGGAAGTATTTCAAAAGCATGTGTATGTGGCACTTAGGGACATGATTTAGTGCTTGACTTGGCAGTGCTGGGTTAGTGGTTGGACTCAATGAACTTAGAGATCTTCTCCAAACTAAACAATTCTGTGATTCTGTGATTACATTTACAGATTAAAAAATTGCATTTCTTAGTCTAATAAAAGAATATTTGAAAAGAAAAAGGGACAGTTGTTGTGTTGCTGTTTAGACAAACTCAGTTGTTATATGTCAAAGACTTGCTGTTGTATTCAGTAAATTCTGAGTGCCCTAATGATTTTTTTTTTGTTATTTTGACATTAACCAGTTTCAACTCATCCATTTTTTGTTATTAAGTCAGATTTCT